TTTTACATTTTCTAAGCGCTACAATGTCAGTGACTTTATGCTACAAATATATTTTAGGATTATTGTATTGTAGTATGATATTTTAAGAGTATTATCAAAGACAGCATGGCGTATTTTGAATGTAATTTGGTCAATCTTTTTTAAAAACTCAATTTTCTCAAGAATTCCCTTCATTTGACAGTAAAAACAAAGTACAGAAGGGTGCATATGGATCATTTTAGAATCTTTTAAAACTTGCCCTTGTATTTCTGAAATCCTTTTAAAATCTTTCTCTTAACTTGTCATATAAATGTGCTAAAAAATGCTTAGCTCTTTGTACATAATTTGGGTTGGAGCTGCATATTACTCATATATCTTTCAGTATTGTGCTAATTTAGTTTGAATGTTTCAGGAATTGTTCTTTTCTTTCTTTTGAAGTTTTCTTTCCCTCCATGAATGCGTGTACTCTAGTGGAGGTTGACATAAAAACTAACGAGAGGTAAGTGAGTGGTCTATTACAGGTCATAATGGTTTTATATACAATAAAGATTTAAAAAAGGCAAAATGATCTTTTTGTTTTTGTTCACTAGAATGTTTCAAAGTTATCATAAGTACCAAAACCTGTAACTGACACAATTTATGTATATGTGAAAAACTCAAACAAAAGTGATTATATAATCAGTTGCACAAGATTTTTGGGCAATGACACATTTTGTGTTGTAATTTTGCCTCTGTGCACCACAACAATGGATTTAAAATCAAATAAGGCAAGCGTAGAGTTTCAGCTTTAATTCAAGGCTTGAATAAAAGTATCACTTACAGTCATTTTTATCCAAATTGCCCATTTTCAAAAGAAATTGGAAAAAAATATATTTTTTGTTATAATAAAGATTGTTTTTAATACTTGTATGAAAGTTTTCAGTCAGTGATTGCTGGAAGGGTAGAACACGTTGACATCACCATTTGCTCTGCTTCGCCTTCGGTGCAAGCTACCGTCAGCTGCTTACTGGTTGTGAGTCTCTGCCTTCAGTTTGTCTCCAGTAGCTGAAAAGCATGTAAAATGTAAATATAAGCAGAATGCAGTGATCTGCAAATGCCACAAACCATTATTTTGTTTTTATTTTTAATTAATATGAACTGAGGCAAATTGGAAAACTGTTCTGACGTAAGACAAAACAACATTTGCAATTCTTTTTGAAAAACTTGGATCCTCTGCCCTCTCCACTGAAGATGAGAGACTATCCAGCTTCTTCTTATTCCCAGTGCAAAACTCTGCATCTCTGACGCTATGTGGATGATTCAATGCATATGGAATTGACATCTTGCACATCTGGAAAGACGTACCACACCTAAAACATAGCAGCAGAGTTTAAGTGCAGTTCAGTCAAACCGTTATAAAGGTTAATAAGCAGTTTTTGTGGATGAAGCTGTATTTCCCTAACAGCATCTTTCCGCAGCAGTGCCCTGCTTTTACTGACCACAACAAATTTTTGTGGAAGTCCACATTAAAACTTTCCCATCATGCAGAAAAAAAGTAGAACTTGAATTTCCCGTTGTCTAAATGCTGACACGTGTCACATTCTCTGCTCTTAAAATGTTGCAATCTTGGTCAAAGTAAGCAACTTCCCAAGTCCATATTGATATTACTGTTACAGAACTATTTTTAAAGCTTCAGCAAGTGAACAAACACTAACAAACAACAATGAATGCTGATTGTTAGTGTGATTATAAAATTCATTTTCTTTATTTGATCACAGGAGGGCTGAGGTTGGCTGAAAGCTGGCACTGACACAGATTAATTTTGGATTACTTGCGGTTTGTTTAACTTTAGTCCCTCAATCTAACACAATGAACAAGTGCTACAGTCACACTCTTTCAGGCTCATTCTCACACAGGATGGAGTCAAGTCTTTATGACCTAAGCCTAACTGCACCTTTTGTCTTTTTCTTCCCTTTATGTTTTTTGAATATTTAACAATTGTCATTTTTCTTGTGCACTTGAACATAAACACATTTTATTCAAATGCTCGACAAAATATATGAAAGAAATGAGACACCAGAGAAACTAATACCTAGCTTCTGTTCTTCTTATCTCTAATCCCTGCAGGGAAACTGTCACTCTATTTCTCTGTCTCTACTTCTGAATATGGACCAGTGTGAGGCATGAAGAAATAATTTAGGCAAACAGAAGTAGTGGAGGGCCCTTACAAAGCAGTCAGTATCCTGGCTGTGCAGAAGGAGGACGGGACATTTCACCTGTGAGGAACACAGCAAGATTTATCGAGTTATTTTTTTCTTCATTTCTCTTCTAAACCCGATTAAACCTGTTTTTAGATCAGTTAATTTAAGAGGTGGGAAGTAACGAAGTCAAAAAATAGCTAGCGAGGAAGAAAAATGGGAACGAGGTTTTTTTTTAAGTGGCAGAAGTGCAACATTTCTATCAGTTCAACAAACATCAGCAAACACACAAACTGTCTGTGTTCAGTTTGTCTCACTGTGTGTTGCTAGCTAAAGGTCCAGCTGCTGTATTTCACAGGCAGAGAAAAGAAAAAGAGCAAACTTCACTCAGAGATGGAGAAAGATGTAAGAGGACAGGACAGGAGAGGTTAGGTTTAAAGGTAAGGACTCAGTGACGCTTGATAACCTGCAAATCTAGTGTCGCAGAGATCAATTTGCATTTAAGCTGATTATGCTTAGATACATTCATTGAATTCTGACTTTATATCAACCGTCTAGTATTAAAATAGGTATAAAGTGTATAGTGTCAGTGTAGGAAATGGAGCTAAGCAAAGACATCTGTGAAACATCTGTTGACATCTTGTTGAATTCACTTGTGTGACTCCACAAAGAGCAGAAGGGCTGCTGATCACAGCCTGTATATAAAGAAACTTCTCCGAAGCTCATATTAGAAATTATTGTGAGTTGTGATTCTTTTCCCTGTGCTGATCAACTACACAGATCTTAGGGTTCCCCCATCTGCTGAATCCCACTGTAACCCTTGACTGTGCTCACTTTACTGTTTAGGTGTGGAAGCAAAGTCAGCATCTACAATGTAGGGAACAGAAAATAGTTATTTTCACTGCGTCTGTCCTAGATAACAGATTCAAGCTGAGTGCATCCACTACAATTACAATTTAGATTCGAATAACATTTGTATGCTCATGTATTCATATTATTTTTTAAATATATTAATATAGCAAAACAAAGAAAATGGCTCGTAGAATTGTCCTTAAAGGAGCTACTTTTTAGTTTTACTGTGCATTTTCACTTTTGAGTAAAAACGTTGCTTCAGTACTTTAACTTTTACTGGAGTATGTTTTAACACCTGTATCAGTACTTCTACTTAAGTAAAGAAAGTCTGTACTTTTGCCACCTCTAAATAAGTTTAAACGATGCAATGACAAACAAATAAAAATATCAAAAAAAACTTAAGATTAAATTCATTTTCAAGAATATTTACCAATTCCATTATTTTCTTTTCTTTTTTTAAATGCACAGATTAAAGATTTTGTAGAGACTGTAAACATTCCTCAGAGATTTTGATATGACAGCATCACAGAGTTGCTACAGATGTCAACAGAACACATGTATGATGTGAATCTCATATTCCACCACTTAAAGTGTTGAAAACAAGCCTGATATGACATTAGCACCATTTCCCCACCACGTTACTTTATGACATTAGCACGAAGCCTCCAGCTGTGCTCCAAAGCTGTTAGCATGGCTGTTTCATCATTACATTGTGTCACACCAGCACCTGAAAGAAAAGCTCTGAGTTTGATTTTGTGTTTGTGTTTTGCAGGCACTCAGGAGAAAAAGTCATGAAGTTTCTCGTGTTTGTCCTGTTAGTATCTCAGTGCTCGTCGCTCACCAGTCAACAGTGTCACCACTGTGAACAAACATCCTGCGACTGCTCGAGCCAAAACCTTCGAGAAGTCCCTGCAGCCGCTTCAAAACTCATCACTGAGCTCGATCTCTCTTTAAACGCACTGGAGACGATAATGAAAGATGACTTTCTTTCATATGCCGCTTTGAGGGCTTTGTTCGTGAATAACAACAGGATCAAAACCATCCATGAAGACGCATTTCACCCACTGACTCATTTGGAGAAACTGGACTTGTCCTCAAACCAGTTGGAGACTTTGTCTTCTGGTTGGTTTCAGAACCTGACTTCTCTCCACTACTTGAATCTTTTGGGAAACAAATATTCAACACTTGGTCAGGGAAACATTTTCCTGCCACTGAGGAGCTTGAAGACCCTCCATTTTGGAGGACCTTTCCTTCAGTCTGTCAGTAAAAGGGATTTTTCTGGCCTTTTTGGTCTTGAGGAACTTGTTTTTGAAGGAAATCATCTGCAAGTCTATAAAAAAGGAAGTCTGAGACAAATTGGACCCATTAGCCATGTAACACTTAGTCTCAGTGGAGTATTTCACAGAGATTTAGCAGTAGTACGAGCTATATTGTTAGACGTTGTTCATCCAAACACAACAGTGACATTCACTGACACACAGTTTAACAAAAGTTTGCAAATGTTCCCACTTCATGTGGCCATCGAGCGTGGTGCTACAGGTCTTAGTTTCAAAAATGTGAACATGTCTGTGTCAGCTTGTGTACAACTTGTGAATATTTTGTCGGGCTCTGAACTCACCAGTGTTGCCATTGAAGATTCTCAGTTCTTTGAAGATGAAGAGGAAGTCTTTCTTGTTGACATAAACCTGAAAGGCTTGGAGGTCATTTTTCTCAGAAACATTGATATTGTTTGGTTCTACCGTGTTCCTGAACTCAGTTTTATGCAAAATATGCTGACTGTAGTAAGAAGGGCATCTGTGATAAACTCCAAGGTGTTTGTCATTCCCTGCCAATCCACTATTCATTTCACAAACCTGGAGTTTTTGGACATCAGTGACAACACAGTCGCAGATCGTGCATTTATGGAAATGATGTGTTATGGAAAGGAGGATGTCCTTCTAAATCTCCGCACACTCAACATCAGCAGAAATCGTTTGTTTTTAATCAACAGCAAACTCTTCACTAAACTAGAAAAGCTGGAAAACCTCGACATGAGTAGAAACTCATTTGACAGCATGCCTTCGACTTGTTCCTGGCCAGCAAGTCTCAAGTTCTTAAACCTTTCGTCAACTTCTCTTTCTGAGGTGACATCCTGCCTACCACAGAGCCTACAGATCCTTGATTTATCCAGAAATAAACTGACTGTCTTTAACATTGAGTTGCCGCTTCTCAAAGAGCTGTACATCTCTGGCAACAAGCTTGGAAATCTCCCAGATGGGCATTTATATGTCAGCCTCGCAGTTCTCTCCATTCAAGACAACAACTTGGCCAAATTCAGCAGTAAAAACCTGCATGATTACCAGAGCCTGAGGGTCCTGGAAGCTGCTGGCAACCCTTACGTCTGTTCATGTGACTTTGTAGGTTTCGTGACAAATGACTTGATGAACCACAAAACTGTAGTTGGACATGACTTAAAGTCTTACATCTGTGACTCTCCCGATGCAGTGAGGGGCGAGAGAGTGTCAGACGTGAAGCTGTCAGTGTTTGAGTGCCACACAGCTTTAGCGATTTCTTTGCTCTGCTTAGGCATCCTGGTGCTGTGTGTGCTCATTGCAGGTCTGTGTTATAAGTTCAGCGTTGTGTGGTACATGAAGATGACCTGGGCATGGCTAAAAGCAAAGAGAAAGCCAAAGTTGAAGAAGGGAGTGCTCCAGTACGATGCCTTTGTGTCCTACAGTGAAATGGACTCCGGCTGGGTGGAGGCGCATCTGATCCCGGCCCTGGAGCAGTCGGAACCGCCCCTCCGACTCTGCCTCCACAAGAGAGACTTTGTTCCCGGAGGATGGATCGTAGACAACATCATGGACGCTATAGAGAAGAGTCACAGAACGCTCTTCGTCCTCTCCCAGAACTTTGTCAGAAGCGAGTGGTGCAAGTACGAGCTTGACTACACCCATTTTAGATTGTTTGATCAAAACGATGACGCAGTTGTGCTGATTCTACTGGAGCCCATTGACAAAAATAACATCCCCAAAAAGTTCATCAGGCTGCGGAAAGTGATGAACTCCAGGACGTACCTGGAGTGGCCT